GTATCTGGTGGAGAACCTGCATTCCAGATGTGTAGCTCTGTGCCCCTCCATCTGCTGAGCACTCCATATGCTGGTACTGGCTCAGGAGAGGATACAGAAAACTGTGGTTTTCTGACTGATAATTACACATCTCAGCATTTTAAACCTACAGGCAAAACCTAAAACAGTCCTGAATTCCTCTGGATTCTGTCCATTGACAAAATTCCTCTCACAGGTAAAGGAGGGTCAGGCTTCGTCTAGGCAGTGGTAAATCAGGAATAAATCCATGACATTACACCACCCAGGAATAGTGGGTACATTTAGTCAGGCCTTGTTTTGAGGGCCAGCATGATTCTGATGTCACAATATTCTGCTTGCAAGATTTGATGTCCTTTAGACAGAAAGTTGCCTGTTTTTCCTGTTCAGTTTTCCCTAGTTCAGTTAAAGGGAAGACAAGTGAAAGTAAGAGCAAAATGCCATCATGGCAACTGAGGACAAATAAAAGCAGATTATGGAGACTAAAATCACAGCTTTTTACTTCGGGGGCCCAGGTCTCCTTTGCTGTGTCTCTGTCTCTAAATACAAGAGAGGCAGGGAGCAGTCCCTGTGCCCAAAGCGAAGTGGCACAGACTGGTGCATGCTAAGCTCCTGCTTGAGAAGAATTGTGTTCCTATTTCATGACATTTTGGACTGGCTTTCATCTGGCCCCTGTGAGTTCCTGAAGGATGCTACAGAATGAGTATCTGAGTGTTTTTCCTGGTATGAAGTCCCTGAAGCACAGTGGTGCTGCATTCCAGCTCTCACATGTTGCTGTTGCAGCATGAAGCTGATGATAGGTGCACAGGGGCACCTGGCAGTGCCTGAGCACGTAAATCCTGCTGGGGTGGCATGGCTGAGCTGCTGAGGTGGTCGAACCATGTCATGTATGTGCTGCTTTGGGAGCAGTCCTCAAAGTGTGATACTGCTAGCCTGGGCCTGGACATGGTACTTGAGGGAGTTACTTGGAGAAGCCTGGATATGATCAGGAGTAAAATTACAATTATATGCTGTAGATGCTCGTGGTTCCAGTGTTTGAACTTACCTCTAGAGTCTTTTTTGTTTATCTGAGTAAAGATATACCTAGGGTGGTACAGAAGAGGGTTTCTGCTTTAGAGCTGCCTCCTTGACCTGGAATCTGTGCAGCATGGCAGCATGCTTTTCCCAGGTGCCCTTTTCCTCACATGTGGACATGGTTTCTCAGATCAGGACCTTTTTGTGCCTTCCCAGTGTCTGAATGGAGCCCAGGTATAATAGTGGGGTTTTGTTTGTTTGTTTGGTTGGGTTTTTTTTGCACAGTTCGTTATGAAACATAAGAGCAGGGTCTAAAGCCTTATTCATGTGGGAGCTCACTTTAGTCTCATCTCCATGCTATCTTTTAATTTCCCTTGTTTCTCCTTGGTTGTTCTGGCTGCTGCGGTGCCATTTTTGTGAGACACTGGGCGATCTCATTAAAGGAAATCCCGTAATGGCTGTTGTTAATCTTGGATGCCAAACACTGCCTTTGTCCTTTAACTTTTCCTTTGACATGTTGAAACTGGTCACTACATGACTACCTAGGAAAAGGATGGTGTTTTTCAGGGAACAGGGACTGATTTAGCACGAGCTGTGTAGGAAACTATGGCTGTCATAAGCTTTAGTGAACTCTGAAGGAAAATTGCCATGATTCATCCACAGTTGTTAATATGACAAAGCCCAGATCCATACAAAGGAACACCTGGCCTGCTAGTGAACATCTCTCTGGAGAGCAGCATTTGCCCACATGTTTGTTGCTCTAGCAACAAGCCTGAATGTGGATCACTATTTTTTGAAACACCACAAGAAAGAACAGATTCCACTATGGGAAATTTTCTGTCATAAAGAAAATTATATTTGCTCTACAAACACTGAGTTCTCCCACTCTGTAGGGACTGACTGCCACTCTCTGAATCACTAAAAAACACAGAGGCCCATTTCTTGACTCTTGAGAATCTAAAGATGTGCCAAAACATACATGGATTTCATATTTTCCAGTAGCTACAAATCAGACCCTTTCTCTCAAGAAGATCCCGGTTTAGAACAGTCTCCTAGGTCACTTTACAAGCTCAAAGTGAACCAACTTTAGAAAGTAAAATAATTTCCTTATAGGGTGAATTTTACCCTCTGCTCAAAGCTTTTTCATCACCTTTCCTTTCCGGGTAGGTTTCAGATGATGGTTTGCACTCTCTCCTCTGCTCTCTTGCAAAATGCCCCTGTAGATGAACAAGTGTGAGTGATAACGTGGTGATACATCAACTACATTTGATTTTAGTTGCTCTGGCTCTCACTACTCCTACTTTAAAAAGCTTTTAGATGCATATGTATACTTATCTATACATGTGTACATATATATATGTACACACACACACATATATATATATGTACACATAAAGCAAGGCTGAGAGGAGCTTGGGTGCCATGTGAAGCACTTGTGTTACAAGATGTTTCATAATCTATTCCAATGTTCTTCTGTTTCTGCTGCCTGCGTTCCTACTTTGTAGACAGACCAGCTTTGTTAATTTTCCTTGTTTCTCTTCTGATTCCTGGTTTTACATTTCTTCCCCTGGTAATGCTCTGCCAGTACAATAAGGATTTTTTTTTTTTTTTTTAAGGCTGGACAACAAGGAGGATAAAAATGGGGAGAGAGAGAGATACTCTGAATCCCAGAGGTTACTAATTTCTGTCTGAACTGAATAAATGTCTGCATATAAATGTGTTTCTTCTTCTTTCAAAAAAGGGTCTACTTTTTTTCTGCTGACCCTGGGTGAGTCTGGAGTTACCTGAAACTGTTTGTAGCTGTTCAGAAATCGCAAGCTTTCCCACCTGAATTCCTCCCCTGTCAGCTGGAGGGGGCTTTCAGGTGGGTGTTTGTTTCATTGTGCCTCAAAGGGATCCGTTCCTGTGCTGAAAGACAAGCCCAGGACAATGTTTTACAGAGCAGAAGATATTGTGAGGGACCAATTATCACATAAGTGGTTCTCACGGCTTGGGCTGGTACTGTGTGCCAGGTTGCACATTAACTTCTTTCACTGCTTTTTACCCAGTTTACTCAACATTCTCAAGTGGTGGCTTTGTCAATTGTTTCTCCTGCTGATATTTTGACAGATAATAGCCCCCTGATGCCAGCTTAGCCCAGCTAGTAAGAAATAGGCCAACGTGAAACCCTAGACCAAGTGACTGCTCTAATGGTATGGAGGAGCTGTAGGGTAGGTTCTGGTATGGAATTGTTATTAATTTCCATCTGAAAAATAGATCTCCCAACCCTGCTCTCACACTCTCTATGTACTCCGTTAAAAAAAAAAAAAAAAAAAAAAAAAACAAAACATGGAGACTTTATTATATTTTTTTTTTCTCTGCCACACCATGCTTAAGCATCCTCTAATGAGTGTCAGGGTACACTTGGGGAGTATGACTGAATCATATGAGCACAAATATATTTAAAGATTTATAGTGTTTCATTGATTCCAAAGGAATATATAATGACCAGGCAATTTTTGGTGTGGTTTTCCTATATAAATCTTACCAAAATTGCTGACACTGTGTTATTAACACCTGGGGCTGTGTTGCTGCAAAGTGAAGAGATTTATGTGGAGGATAAAGCAGAGATCTTTAGAAAGTGGGGTTTGCTAATTCATCTGGCTGTTCATTAGTTTAAGAGCTTTCTGTAGTTTGTATATTTCACTGACTTCTTGGTTCTTTCTTCTTATGGTTAGAGATGCTATATAAGAAAAAAATAATTAATTTTTTCCTAGTAGTTAGGGCTGAATTTTAACTATATTCTTCTTTAAGTCTTTTCCTTAGCTTAATCCTGTTAGGTACTGAATGCTTTCAATGGTTTCAAATTAATGTAGGATTTGAACTCAGGCAGGCCTTATTGTTGTCAGACCTTTCTTTTCCATCCTTCAGGGGCTTTTTTTTTTCTCAAGGAGTGGCATAGAAGAGCTGAGAAAATGATGCTTAGGACTGAAATGATTCTTAATGCATATCATATGTAGACATATGTAAATGTGCACCACACATTTGTTTCCCCGCAACATTATTAATTTTAATAATTTTTAGGCAGCAAAGATTTTAGAAAAGAAAGTTTATCTATTGTTACTTATACCATTGTGTTCATGTTTTTTCAAACTTAGCCAGGAAGACTAAGGTACATGAAACTCATTTTATTTTTTCCTTTCCTATCTTTGCTTAGTTTCTCTTTCTAAGCTGAAGGACCAGTTAATGGCATACATAAAGCTGTACTTTCAGAAAAATTTAAGGACTACTAATGAGAATGAAGAAGTTTTTGTTTAACTTCCATTTTTTTGATTGTAGAAACCAAATTCTTTCTGAAACAGGCCTGAGAATGTCCGGGTAGAAGGGACAGGCTTTTGATGTGGTACTAGGAGCTTTTCGCATCATTTTCCTTTGCATATGTCTTCACTTGTGTGTTTATGTGTTTTGAGGTCTTCCTTACAAGGAACATTTTGCAAAGTGCTCCTAGTCTGTTAAATCATTCATGTCAGCCAAGTGTACTTTTGCCTAAAGTTAAGCATGAGCTTGGAATCAAGCACATCCTAAAGTCAGGGCCTGTATCCAGAAGCATTAAACTCCATGGACTCAGTGTTTGTCAGATATGGAGACTCTCAGAGGCTACAGAAATTTGTGGTCCCAGAGCCTGAGCTCCTTACTGAGTTCAGAGGGAGCTGACACTGCTTTGTGTTGTTCAGGATCAGGCTTTGAATGTCTCAAGAGACATCTGCAGAAGGGTCTACTTGAAGAACTATGATTTAACTTTTATTTCTTATCATGCTGGGGTCTGGGAGAATATTTTGTGCTATCTGGTTGACTGATGGGTTTGAGAGGTCCTACTCCAGGGGGGCTCTTAATTCCAACCAAAGGGAAAACATACTGGAAAAACCTCCAGCAAGGACTTTTAAAAAATCTTTTTTCTCACATATTTAGCCTGAACTAGCAATAACAACGTCGATGCAGGGCATTTCCTGAGGATTAATGACTGTCTGGGGTCATCATCTCCTCCCAGTTAGTTATTAATCTCCAGGAAATACTCTGTGCCTTGATCATTATTGCTTAATTAGCATTGAGAATGTGGGGGGTTTAGGTTTCTTTTCATGCATCCTGTGAATTGCTGGGGTGGGGGGGGGGTTTCTTTCATTAACTTGCCCTTTTCAGCCTGGATGTGAGCATGGGCTTTGCTTACAGTTTGCAGGTTTGAGAATTTAGTCACAGGGCTAAACCTTCCCAAGCAATTTGAGTTCCATGTGAAAGCCCCACTAGCAGCCCACATCTGCAGCACATCAAGAGGTGTCCCCCCGCCCCCAGCCCTGCTGGAAAACATCGGGTGCCAGGGGGGCAGTAGCCGGAGTCTGGGAGCTGGGGATGCTGAAAAAAGGCAGGAAAAGTTGGGGGGTGAAGGAGGGAGAAGAAAAGGAAAAGAAGGGAGTGCTGAGGAGAAGTTAGGCGCTGCCAATCTCAACAATTTTATCAGCCACCAAAAGAATTTCTCGTATCATGAAATTTTGGGAAAATTTTGGAGTTGAAACAGCCTTCAATAAAACTCTACCTGATTCAAATGAACCTGACTGCACCAAGCCAAATCTATTTAGTTAGAAGAGCAGGGAGAATAAATGCAGACTTTATCCCTGGAGGAGAGGAACATGATGGACACAGTCTTTTTTCAAGCTTTGTGTGGTGGGACTGAGCTCAGGAGAGCTGTTCCCACCAACCATCCTATTGCTCCATCATTATTTTCTATCAGGCTGGCAGCTACAGCACTGGGAGATCCCCACTTCATGGTGTATTCAGAGTTGTTTATGGGATGTGTGACTCCAAGCACACAATTCCAGGAGTGATGGACAGAGCTTGACCCCAGGGATACGGGCACTGCAAGTCTGGGTGCCCCCAGGCATGATGGGGTTCCATCTGTTGATCTGTTTGTTATGGATGTAGTCTTAAGTATATTTTGAAAAGAAAATTAATTTTAAAAAGGAAATATCAGGTTTTCTGCTCCAAACAAAGCCATAATAGGATTTTTTCAAGACTTTTTAAAAACATTTTTGTAGAACTCCAGTGGGGAGACAGTTGGAGACATGTAGTGACATTTTCCTAGCCAGCTGTTCTTCAGATCTCATTACCCTTTTCTGCTGTGGGAACCTCTGTCCAAGTCTCCTTGAAGGTCTTTTGGGTCCTGCATGTTTAAGTTAATATTTTAGCAATTTGGCCTTTATGTTTGGGACCAGAGGTGCAAATCAGTTTCATGCCTCACAGGAAAATCCCTTACCCTAAACAAATATCTGGCCTCACAAATATTTCTATGGCCGTGGTGAAAATATGCCAACTTTGGTCCCAAAGTGCTAGGTTTTTTTACTTTCCTACCTAAATATTTGTATTTTGGGGGACAATATACTTCTTTCAGTGTTGGAAAAACCATTTGTTTGAGGAAAGGGAATATTGCAAAAAGAATACCTGCTTAGTAATTAGTCTGAAGAGTTTGTTAGTTTGAAGAGATTTGGAACAAAAATTTATTTTCTTTTTTTGAAGTCACTTATCTGAATATTTATGACCTTTAAATTTTTGCCTGGAAAAACCCCGAACAGAGTCATATAATGCCATGGAAAAGTAATGCAAATAATTATTTCCAGTTCTTTTGAAAAATGCTTTAGAGAGGCATAGGACCCTCTGGAACTGAAATAGCTCCACCTAACCACACAGTATTTATAATTAATTCAATAGATATAAAGAGATATGACTGGTTTTGACCTTAACCCTGATCAACATTAAATCTAATCCTCATTTCAACTCTGTTCCTAAGTATAGAAAAAGGCCTTTGACAAGTCAGTGGCCACTATATATTTAAATTCTCCATAGTGCATCCTGCAATGTTCTCATCAAAATCTTGTTCTTGTAACTGACCTCTGACAGTCAATGTATGGTCAATGTCAAACCATAAAAGGCATGAGAAGGGGAGAGGGAATAGAAAAAGAGTCATTATGCAGATGATATATAAATGTCCATTAATGAGACATTCCTTTGTACTTTGAACTCATAGCAGAGTTTGACATTGAATAGGTCTCAGGGGTTTTAAGGCTTCATCACACATATTTTTGCATGGCCTTATTCTTACCAAAGAAAAAAAGAACAGACCTTGGTAAAGTGAGGAGGCTATAGCCCTAGATAAGATCAAAATAAAATGTATGGGAAGAAATTTCTATGTCTGCTTGGGAGACAAAACAACACCATAAATATTGGGGAGTAGGAAGTAATCTGATGTAATAAGGCCAATCTGAGTGGAAGTCTGAACCTACAGTCACCAAAACCATTTCTGCAAAAAGGGAAAGTTAAGACATCAGAGGAACCGCAGCATAAGGCGAGCATGTGGTGATATCTGATACTGCTTGTGTGCACACCTGAGCGCAAGGATCTCATTGGCATTCCTGGGAAAGCCAAAGATGTTGGAAGTGTGTGGGCCCCTACCCTCTGGTGCCCAGGTCTCACAGGTCCAGGGATTTCCATGGCTCTGTCCACTGGCCTCTGGTCCTTATAGTATCCTTTGTTTGCCTTCTCTCAACTTGTGAGCTCCTCAGAAGTAACGATGTGCCTCTCACAAGGATGAGTCCACATTCCCTGAAGCTCTGAGGACACAGAATCCCCTCCATGTTGTGTTAGAAGAGATACAGACCAGCAGTGCTCTGGCTTGGGGCCTCTGGTGCAGGAAGGTGAACAGGAGTCAATAAAAATAACTGCAGGGGAAGGCAAATCTTTGAGTATTTTACATGCAGATTGTCATGGGTAGGAGCTGTCCCTCTGACTTCCCCACAGCCTCCAAGTTTCCAGCACACCTGCTGACAGCTGGGCCTGAATGTTCTCAGATGAATTAATACAGAATTAGAGCAGGAAATTGGAACAGACCTTAGCTTCATTTCTCAATTTTTCAGAACAAGTTCTGCATCCTGATTAAAGCCTAATGTGAAAACACTCTGGGAACAAATTTTCATACTTTTATCCATATTGGGTAGCTATTCTGTCTCCTGGTTGTAGTGAGATGAGATCTGACTGGGGTTTTGCAAGTCTGGGTAATCAAATTGAGGAATTATCCTGGAGTTTGCAGAAGAGGGTACAGACTGTAATTCCCTTTGGCCAACATGATTTCAAATTTTAAAAATACGTAATGGTAGGAAAGATGTGCTAAAGTTCCATTTGGTTGCAGTATGGTTTGAAGTAGAATCTGAACTCCCATTTTTGCACCCGTGGATTGCAATGATATTAAGCTACAGGATGGCAAGGACTATGTGAAACTGTGTACTCACCAAGGTCAAGGGAAGGCTTGCGTTGCCTGGAGTGAGGGCAGTGTTTTAGTCTCCATCAAACATAACAGTTTATATTATTTTTAATCCACTCACCTCTGGAGAAAACATTCATTCCATTCTTGAGATAAGAACGTGTTACTTTTCTCTGGCTGCCCCTCCACTCACCTTGAAGGGGTCCGCTCAGAAAGCTTGATAGGAAGTGCATGGCTGTTTGATCTACTTAGTGAAAGGCAGCAATGCAGAGAGGATGACCTGAATCAGGGCTTCTGGGTTTTATGGGTTTTATGCTCTGATGGTGGCTAACCAGGTCTGCATCAAACTTGTGAGATCTATTTCCTGTAACTCTACTTCTCTGCCTCTTGTTTCCTCATCTTTGTTATAAAATAGGCATCAAATGCCACAGTGTGTATATGTTCTATCTGAATTCACCCATTTTAGGGAAGCACTGGATTCCTAGATCCACATTAAGCATACTGGTTGAGAAAAAAGTGGATAGGAATGGTGAAGCCTTCGTTTGTCTTTGAAAATCTGCCTCTGCTTGTTCTGTAGTGCTCAAAAAGCCAGATTTGGGATTATTCTTTTTTTTTTTTTAACATTTTCTACTTGTTTTGAAAGGCAAAAATGTTATCTTTCTGATCTGTACATGGTCCGAAAAACACATATTATCATCACTTGGTTGTAGCTCTGCTGGCACGGTATGTTTTGCTTATTAAAGCAAAGATATGGTTGAAATTAGAGCTGTGTGATACATGTCATCAAGCTTTATGTATTTGCAAATAATAAACAGTTTACAAAGCATGGCTTGAACTTGCGGGTTGCAGCTTACTGTCACTTCAATAGAGGTTTCAGAACACTGCTGGCAGTGTAGGGTCTGTGTCTAAGCTGGAAAGCACCTTTGAAAAATTAAGAAAGGAACATTTTACCCATAACTTTCTTTGTTGGGAAAGATGGACTCTGTCTCGTGGTAGCCGTAGTTTAAGTAAACATAAACTCTGGCCCAAATTTCATAATCATCATTTTCTCAAAGCCAGCAGCACTAAACCAAGCTATAGTTTGATTTGGCTAACCCCAAAGTAGGATGTGGTTGCCAGCCTCTGGAGCCACATGATCAGGTTTCAAGGAGACACCACCAGAACCATGCCGTTGTCCTAGTCAGGAAGGTCCTGGATGTGTGAGTCCTATCGTTATGGGATGTGTGTTGCCATCGTTATGTCTCACAAATAAATGTAACCATAACAACAGGTATGCTCCAATTAAAGCCTGCCTGCTCTGTGTCCTGCCTGGGGGCAGCCTGGGAGTGTCACAACACTGCTGGGCTCAGGAGGAAAAAGGTGTTAGAGAGGGAAGATTGCCAAGGGAAAAGGCCAGGTCTTAAGGGGGAGCTTCATCGCTCTGTACAACTACCTGGAAGGAGGTTGTAACGAGGTATTGGTCTCCTCTCCAGCAACAAGTGACAGAACAAGAGGGAATAGCCTCAACTTTTTGCCATGGGATGTTTAGGTTGGGTATTAAGAAACATTTCTTAACTCAAAGGGTGGTCAAGCATTGCAACAGGTTGTGGTAGTGTCATCATCCCTGGAAGTCTTCAAAACCATGTGGTACTTGGAAATACAGTTTAGTGGTGAATATGGAACTACCCTGTTAACGATTGGGACTCAATGGTCTCAGAGGTCTTTTCTGACCTAGGTGATCCAATGATTCTATGATACTCAACAGACTTCCTACTCTGCCATAAGCACAAGACTCTGCACA